ATTCTGCCTTCAGCTCTGCGTCCTCCATAGTTCTTACTCCAAACTTCCTCTGAAACAAGCGAAGCTGGTGCCACAACCACGGCTTCATCGATGTCTGCAGCATGAACACGAGTGAAGACGCAATAGAAACAAATTCATATTTTAAAGCATAAAGAAAAGTGGGCTGGAGCATCTCTCAAACAGTCAACGATGAGTTCAATCTGAAGGCCGTTTGCTGCCTCAAAATATTAATCAAGTTACCTTTGTAGGTGCAGACGGAGGTACTGCTCAATAATCCCAGGATTGCTTACACCCCTACACATCGTCCTCCTCATCACCACGTTCATGCTGCGACATCAGTCAGGCTGTGGAAGTTCATAACCTGTATCTGAGTTTAGAGGCGTTTAGCTCAGCAAACAAACAGTTTCTGTGAACTTTGGACAAACAGGCGGGAGTTCACGGACATGTGGTGCCTCCACCCAGACAGCCGGAGAAACAACAAGAGGAAGACGATTGTTTTCAGACGCTCAATCGTCCATCAAGACACGAACTGCTCAGTAAATTCAACCTTAAATATGATGTTTAACTCGAGTTGGATGTTTTAATATTTTAACGATATTTTTATTCACATGGTTCAGTTTATGGTGACCCATCAAGGGAGGAATGAATCGTCTTCACCTCCACACACGGGACACTGTTGTTGTGATTTGTTGCTGTATAAATTAAATTGTTTGGTTATCTTGGGTGGGGTCCACTGAGGAGTTTGGTAGCTCGCTCCCGAGTTTGCGTTGGTTTCCTCGAGCGCCGTGCGCCTCTGAACACTCAGCAGGTAAAGTGATGTGCATCAGATTGGGAGTAAACCAGTGGCTCTGACCTCTGCAGGAAACTGGGAGCAGGTTGAGATCATTCATTAGTCATGGTCCTGACGCAGGTGGGCCTTTGGTTGAGTTGGTGTGGAGTGTGTAGTTGTAGCCGTGCGCTGATGGTGTAGGACCACGACTGTCTGTGGGGTGGAGACAAGGATCACTGGGTGTTGCTACTTTTGGTTTTTGTAATCGTCTTGT